TACGTCTCGACTGAGGAAAAAGACGATATACTGGAGGAACTTGATTTGTGAAATCTCGTTAAAGCAGTTGTAGATATGGTTCCAAGAAGAATAGATTTAGTTTAGATTTTTAACTGTTAAATACATGTATGCATCATCATAGCATGAATATTTCTTCTCATACTTATTCTATATCGTATGAAAAAGCAACACAATTTTTAGAATGCGGAAATGGTGTCTCATAGAACCTAAAATGATTTAAATGCAACCTTTCTGATCAAAATCACATTGGGATCCCCCCCCCCCCGGCATCACAGAGAGGAAATAAGGTAACACTGACCCCTACTCCTATTTTTCAAGGTGACTTTTCCAATTTATTTAATTCCGAGTAGAAATGTCTGGAAAAATTCATGTCTTCGATGTACTTTATAATCTTCGGAATTCTGCTAGGTTTCACCCCAAAATGCATGAAATCGCAATTCAGGGACCCTAAATTTCATAATTTTCCGGGCCCTCCTAGACGGTCTCACGCCTTCGGCGTGAGGTTCGCCCCCGCAAAATTAAGGTTTGGCTACGCCACTGGTTATAGCTGTACGATTATAGCTACAAAGAGTTGAAGTTATTGTTTAAAGTAAAATATAGCTGAAGTTAATAAATTAAAGTTTTACAAAATCTCTCTTCAGACTCGCGCCAGTCGCGCGTTCGCCAAACCTCGACGGCTCATATTTTTCGTTCTGCCTTTTTTTCCTGTTTTGCCCCCCCCCCCCAGTGAAAATTCCTTAAAAAAGGCACTGAATTTATGAACGAAATTTGATGTTCAGCAAAATAATCTGACCATAATTTCACGCCAGTCACGCATGTATCATGCGAGAAAACTGCTTTCAGTTTGACTTTTATCAAAACCATAGGGTTCTCTGCCGATAGCCTAGTTTCTTCCTGTAGTAACTGGACTTCTAAGAAGAACAGTTTAGAATTGATAGAACCAGTATCCAGTAGAAATAAAGTTGGTTTAGTTTAGGTTTCCTCCTGTAGTAGCTATCCTTACTAGACTTCTAGGGAGAACAGAACCAATATATAAAAATAAAGTTAGTCTGAGTTATAGGTTGTTTGCTGCTGCTGCAGTAAAACGTCAACAATAAGGTATATGATATGACCCCACTGATATCTGATAAAGCTATCAAGTAACTAGTTGGTCGAGGTTGCCTCCGCCAGTAACCCAGCACCATGAAGGGGGGTGACCTTATTGGATCTCCAGTGAGATCAGTTCAGAACTGGAAGAATCCAGCATAAACAAAGTAGTTTAGTTAAGCTTATAAATACATTTGTTTAAAGTTCTTTCAAGGCACCTACCATTGTTCATGGCAGCAGCAATGGCATAAGTACCGAACTCGATTCTATCAGGCATGACCCGATGGCTGACACTTCGGAGAGACTTGCGTCCAGTGACTGTGATCACATTCCACACCTCTTCTTCTATACCAAAGTCAGTGAGGTCGTCTTCAGCAATTTCCACATTTTCATCAATTTTGATTTTTGCACCCATCTTTTTCAACATGTCAGCCAAATCATATATCTCCGGTTCAATTGCTGCATGTCTGATTACGGTGTCACCTTAAGTAGCAAAAATTCATTGTTTGGAATTCGCATTCAATAGAACATTCCTGGGGCGCCTTGGGTGGGTGGTCATGGATTGGTGGGTGGGTAAGATTGGTAGGTGGATAGATAAGTAATTAAGAAGATAGGTGGTCATGGACAAGTTGGGTGGGTAAGAAGTTGCCACCTCCTATCAGTGGCGGAAATCTTGGTGGGGAGGAGGGGGGCGCCGAGGCCCCCCCCCCCCCACCTTCCGGAAAATTGACGAATTTTTGGAAATTTTGATCTAAAAGAGGGCTAAAACAGTCTTTTCGAGTGCAAATGGGGGGTATGTCGGAAATTTGAAAGTTTTGTCGAAAATTTAGGAGGCTTTGCTCCCCCACCGGAAAAAGTGAATTTCCGCCACTGCCTCCTATGGTTAGGTGCTTAACCATTTTAATTAAACTAGTGGACCATACACACACACAAAGTACCTTCCACCAGACTAGCAGCCATCATAGCAGTTTCCGTTGCGCCAACTGAGCTTTTCTCGAACGTGATTGCTGCAGGTTTTAGACCGTTTTCCACCTCCATTTTGACAAAGATATTGGTTTCTTCAATGGATGGCTTTTCCTGCACACTCATATCTTCCATTGCTTGTATGTGGTAGTCGACTTTTCTCGGTTCTTTTTGAATATCACATCCTCCTGGCTTATACACCTCAGCCTTGCCAGTTCTTGCTAATAGAGGTCCAAAGACAAGAAAAGATGCACGGATATCCGTGCGTACATTGGTACTTGGCAGTGATGATGTCGGGCTCTCTATATGTAAAGAAAATACCAGTAAGTAAATTAGAATGCAATTGTATGGTAGACTATTCAGCGTGCTGGCCCTTGCAGCTGAGTTTAGCCTGTTCCTGAAACTCGTCTTGCTAAGTTTGCAATTGCGCTTGAAGATTCGTGTCCAACCTTTGGTTGGTTGGTTCTTTCTTGTTCTTCGATGGTTTTTCAGGGGTTTTTCCGTCATAAGAAACAGTACCGTTCCCCTAAAGGCCGTTTTGCACTTCAAGTCTACTGCGTACCGTACCGAAACGCGAGCCGAAACGCGTAAAAGAATTCAAAATTTCAAACTTCTGTCAATGTTGATTGGTTAATACTACTACCTCTGTACGCGACAAAGTTAACTTGTGACGAACTTTTCGTTTTGATGCGCAAATACACCAGGAAGTTCCCAGAAGTACCTGAATTTTTTATCTATTTTCAACCTGCGCATGCTCACCAGTACGTTTTGGTTCGGGCCTTTAGCTGTGACCCGGCCCGTAATCAGACATGGCTCGTATGATGGCAGCCAAACTAGGAAACGGACCGTCTGTATGCAAGAATATGGTTTTAATTTAAACAAACTATCAAGAAAATATTAGATATGGTTTGTTCCCAAAACTATACAGCCATTGCTAGTATATAGATTGCTCTATTTTTCTTATTAATTAATATTTCATGGACAGATGGTTTTGTTTTTACACGAACGTCTTTACGGATGACAAATCTATTCTGGTAAAAGTCGAGATCCTCACAATCTCGTACCCAGAGCAATGCCTGTGCGCGGGCTAGGATGGCATTGGCTCTGGGGAAATTGAAACCGGAACCCCTAAATTCTGGGGTTCCGGTTCTTTGTCGGCATGCATGATTGATAGACGTTAAACCAATCACAGCACAGGAAAAATTCAATTTCCCCAGAGCCAATGCCATCCTAGCCCGCGCACAGGCATTGCTCTGGGTACGAGATTGAGATCCTCAGGCAATACGAAACCAAAAATTCCAAACCTTTATAAAATGAATTAATTAAATAGGCGGGTCGAGAAACTGCAGAATCGTGCTTTGAGGATTATCCTACACAAAGGAAGGCGAAAATGCTGTCAAGAGATGCGCAGCGAACTGAAGCTGCTGACATTGCACAGCAGGAGACGATTTTTACGCTTTATGAGTATTTTCAAGATACTGTACAACCAGCCTCGTACCCAGGCGCAATTGACTAAAAATAGGCACACTACAGTGTTTTTATATAGATCAGTGGCTAAGATAAGCGAGCGCGCGGGGGTGCTTGGGGAGGACGCAGGAAACGAAGCTTCGCTAACCCGCTGCGTCCTCCCCAAGCACCCCCGCGCGCTCGCTTATCTTAGCCACTGATCTATATAAAAACACTGTAGTGTGCCTATTTTTAG